AGTCTTGCTGGAAGGACCATTCTTGATTATTGAACATGGTGTTGTTAAGGGGCTTCACTATCTTCTCAAGAATGGTATCTTGATACACTTGTGCCGATGTTTTGATACCTTTTTCACAAAAGTATGGCTCAGTCACTCCTTCATAGCTAATACCCCACCAAACCATCACTGACTCGGATAGTGCCCACGTTGCACTCTGTCGACTAATTGGGAAGCTTCCTTAGAGCTTTGAGCATAAATACGGTCATTATGTTTGTTAAAATGTTCTTCAATTGTAAAAATGTTCTGATCCGTAAACAAAAATTTTCTATGACCTCCCTTTGCGTACCGCTTGCTACGATTTTACCACCCTATTCTCTTTTAAATTATCAGTTAAGAAATGACCGTCTCTTATAGGCTGCAAGTCTTAAGTCATCTTTTAAAATACGCGACATGGTTCTAGGTGCTATCTTCATCTCCCGAGATAAAATCTTTTGCTTTCGGACAGGATTTCTTCGAATTCTTTCCCTTACTGCTTTGACCACCTTTTTCGTACGAACACTACGTGGACGGCCAGATCTTTTTCTATCACAAACAGGGGAGGTCTCATTGCACCTATTAATAGCCCGGTACACAAACATTTTACTAATACCAAGCGTATGGAGAGTTTTAAAAATTGCATTTGGCTCCATACCTACTTTGTGTAATGCAATCGCAGCGATTCGGTTCCCTTTATCACCCCACTCCATTTTAATATCGCAAAATATTGTACAATGTATTGGCGCCAAAATGAGAAAACTCAATGAGCAATCATATAAAAATGACAGATTCCAAATTCAAATGTAATATTATGTTTATTTTTCAGATTAATCCGACGTCTTGGATCCCGCTTCAGAATTACTCTCAATGACTCCGTTACAATGAGAACGAACATACATACGTACGTACGTACGGAGCTAACAAAAGCGAGTTAAAACAAAAAAACCGTTTATTATACACAGATGCAAGACATCGCATCGTGTAGGTACGTCACAAGCTGTAGACTGCGTACTTTCGTGTCTGTCTTGCGTGTCAAGGTTGGCGCCGCGCCCCCACCGAGAACCGGTTACGCGAGCTAGGAAGCTAAGTCTTGTATTCAATCTACGTTATTAAAAACCAGATGCGCTGTTCTAAAATCTGCATTATATCTGTGGACCGAATGGTAAACAGTCGATGTCGCCCTAAACACGTCTTTACGGATCCTCCAGATCCATTAACGGTGCTTTTAGGTACCTTAAGCACCATCCTCGGGCTCGTCGAGTAAATGAACCCATAGACACAGCCCACTGAGTTTCTCGCCGGATCTTCTCAGTGGGTTACATTTCTGATCCGGTGGTAGATTCTGTGAAGCACGGCTCTTGCTAGGGCTCGTGTTAGCAACGTAATCAGGTTTGAGCCCCGTGAGCTCACCTACTAGTTAAGGTTCCGCTGATATAGCCTCTCAAGGCTATCAGCTTAGGTAGGAAAAAAAGGGATCGTATTTCTTAAAAACTTCAATACCAAAGTACAATAATCCCAATGCTTGCCGAGATCTCTCATTAAATGGTTGATTTAAGATCTGTTCAAAACTGTATACGTTGATTAACTGTAAATCTATACATCTATCTATATATGTAAAAATGAATTGCTGTTCGTTAGTCTTGCTAAAATTCGAGAACGGCTGGACCGATTTGGCTAATTTTAGTCTTAAATTATTTGTGGAAGTCCAGAGAAGGTTTAAAACGAAGATAAATATGAAAATGCTTGAAATTAAATAAAAATAACAATTTTGTTTTTCCTTTGATTTTGTCCCCCGTCGGACGGATTCCTTTTGTTTGTTTTCAGTTTATTTTATACAAAAGTTTAGGTCTTTTATTTATCGGTTGGGGCACTACGAAGTCTACCGGGTCAGCTAGTTACGAATAAATAAGAATCTAAGGTTATTATTACGAGTGACATTTAAAATTTAACTTCCGATTTCTACAAGTATACCTTACTTCCTTGCTCTGGCGTTTTAAAAATAATCTGTGAGTAAATCAAAAACAAAAAAAGATTGTAAATCAATCACTGTCAATAAATAATGACAATAGTTTGATCATTTTCTAAATATATAATTAAAATGATCTGTTACCCCTACTTTTTGATTTGCGAAACTCTAGACTTCTGGTTTTATAGATAGATAACGAAATGTAGATCAAATCGATACAAGAAATTCGAGTTATAAAATACTTTATAATTCGTCTCAAGAGAAACATTCAGGAAAACGCACTCAGAAGAGATGGACCGGTCAAACCTGCACGATTTCAACTTGACTTGACACGATTATCTATGATGCGTTTCACTGTATCATCTACATCAAATTAGTAAAAAAATAATGTTATACACGATACAGAGAAGGACTCATTAAGGTATTCAGTAGTGAGCAAACGATTTAAAGGAAACGACTAATTAGTTTAACATAGAAATTACAGTTTAGGATCAACATTAATTACAGTTAAGTACCGAAATTATAGCTATGTAGTTATACCAATTACAGTTAAGGACTGTGTGTTTAGTGCGAGTTGTTTAACGTTCTCGATAACGTAAAAGTTAACTCAAATTTGTATGCAGTTGGAACAGCGCCCCTAGCGGCAAACGTAGGCAAACGTTAAACACACAGACAAACGCTTTGGTTTCAAGTATCGTTAGGACTAGTAGCATCCGTAGTTGGACCGCGGACCTACAAGATTGACGAAGATATCGAATACGGGATCATGTTATTGCCTATTTAATACGACGTCGTGTCTCAATCCATGAAAACTTGTTAGACAAACACAAGCATAAGATTATGGCAAACTGGTGGTAGGACCTTTTGTGAGTCCGCACAGGTAGGTATCACCGCCCTGCCTATTTCTGCCGTGAAACAGTAATCCGTTTAGGTTTGAAGAGCGGGACAGCCGTTGTAGCTATACTGAGACCTTAGAACTGATATCTCAAGATGGGTGGCGCATTTATGTCGTAGATGCCTATGGGCTCCAATAACCACTTAACACCAGGTGGGCTGTGAGCTAGTCCACCCATCTAAGCAATAAAAAATTTTTTTATTTACATTTAAAAGCGGTAACAAGGTGTGAAATATTGAAGACTATGCTTATTTAATGCTGCGAAATACGTCTTATACGAAGCGCTAATTAGGTCTCGTGATGATTGTTTCGTCTCTATGTCGAAGTTCACAAGACCCGGTCGTAGTGAGACTATGGAACGAAATCGTGTGCGATATACTGAATTTGCGAAGTCAAAAAGAGATGTCTATTGACTTTAGTAATAGCCATATAACACTAACGAAGACCGTCTTCTTCTTATTTCAAACACACAAAAAAAAAAGAAACTTTTTAGTACTGTATTGCGTATCTATACTAATATTATAAAGCTGAAGAGTTTGTTGGTTTGGTTGAACGCGCTAATCTCAGGAACTACTGATCCGATTTGAAAAAATATTTCAGTGTTAGATAGATCTAGATCTATTATTCAAAAATATGTTCATCTTCTACGTAAATGAAGACAGGGGTAAAATTTAGCGTTATCCCAAAGTAACTAATCCACGAGGACGATATCGCGATCAAAACCTTGTTAAGAATATATTTATATTTTTAAACATTTGTAATAATAGTCGACACGTAAATTACGTTATGAAAGTAAGATGTTTCAATGGAAAAACATTCTGGGCTGCCAGGGCCGGTCCTACGTTATTTTAGGACTAAACAGAACAAAAAATCCGAGGCAATGCCAACAGCTTCCTGCTTCGTCTGGTACGCGGTATGATCTGATGCTATTTTCATCATTAATAAATTTAAGATGATCGGTTGAGGTTAAAAACGTAATCCTTCAAAACGGAAGTCAGGACTGCTTCACGATAGAAATGGACAGGTTTTTTTTTCTACCTAAGCTGATAGCCTTGAGAGGCTATATCAGCGTAACCTTAACTAGTACGTGAGCAAACGGGGCTCAAATCAGACGACGTCGCTAACACGAACTAAGAGCCGTGCTTCGCAGAATCTACCACCGGATCGGAAACGCGACCCACTGAGAAGATCCGGCGAGAAACTCAATGGGCTGTGTCTGTGGGTTAATTTACTCGTCGAGCCCTTCGTCGCAAGCGACGGGTTCGACGACGACGATGACCGGTGCTTGAGGTACCTAAAAGCTCCGTTAGTGGATCGGGAGGATCCGAAATGACATGTTTTGGGCGACGTCGACTGCTTTCCATTCTGTCCGCAGGATCGGGAATGTAAGGTAGGGACGGGTTTGTGGTGCCTACTTATGCAGACCTATAATATACCTTATGACTAGTGTAAATATTATCTTTTTTTATGAATCAGGGATTACTGGTGGCCCGGTGGCCTCTCCAATTTCACCAGGACCGGTGGGCGAGCAAAGGCTCAGCCAGGAGGGTTGGGATTTGCTAACAGCTGCCCAAGTAAATACTATCGCTTCTTATCTCTATATTGGGAGCTCCGGATTCGATTTCTAGTCGAAGCATTTACTTTGTCAAATACATTTCGTAGACCCATAGCAAAGGAGGAAAGGTTTTCCTATCGGGGTAGTTACTTATAAAAAATTCATTTCATCGGAACATGAAATTAATATTCTGTTAAAATTTATGATATTCATGATATTACGCGCGCATCGCACAGAGTCTACAAAAAATTCGCGCGCATTTAATGTTACATAATATTCAGAACAACATGCCTCTACGCTAAAGTTAGACTCGTGGTTAATGTTATTGTTATTCTCAATAATCGTAAATGTATTTTTATACACACAAAAAATCTCATAGTATACTTGTGTTCATTTTGTATACATAGCATATTTAATATAATCATTATATTTTCCTTGTTAGAAGCGCTAAATTAAATATTATACACGTGTTAGTTATTGCAACGTTTTATAGTACATATTACGTATTTGTAAGACTGTTATTAAGATCTTTGCGACGAAATGACCGTTTTGTTTTTCTTACTTACGATACATTGTTTTGCAAAAACAGGAAATCGATATTTTTACGTAATACTCGTTCGTACGGATGTCAACGTAACAACGGTCATTTCCCCGGTGACCTTCTCTCTACGCCAACAAAACGGCTCAGTTCCACGCCTCAATAAAACATAAATAATTAATTACTAAGAGCGCACACGTGAATTTAACGCATGCATTACGAACCTTTGCACATCGCACGAAAAAAAAAAAAAAAATAGGCCGTCGCGTTCTCAACCCACGAGACTAGAAGCGAATACTGTCTAGAAAAAAATAAAGTCCAGCATATAATAACAGCAGTTGCCCAGTTGCTCTGCGTTTGACAGTTCTGATTTCAGTCAGTCAGTCCGCACTCGTGTTGCGTGCTGGACGCCTGTGCAACTAATATATTTTCCCGCTAAAATTTATTTACGTATTGTGTTTAAAAAAAAAACATTATTACATTAAATAAAAACGTGCTGTGCCATTTTCTATATTTATCATTCGTACGTGATTCGATCTGTATTCTGTGTGAATACAAAGGATTTTTTAAATTCAGGTGAGTTTTAATGAATGTGTCTCATTTATTATTTATTAGAACCGCGCTACGATGAATGCAAGTTTTATGTAGACAATGTGTGATTTAAATATTCATAGCGTTAATACACAAACGATAATGTCATAAAAAATGACTGCTACGAATACAACTGTAAAATAAGCCATAAAACCCCGATAAAGAATAAGCTTTAGAGATTGCAAATACAAAAATTAGCTAGTAGCATATATTTTTTTTAAATTTTTTTTTTGTTTTAATTGGGCAAACGAAACATCAACGTACGTACCTATCAAATACCGGAGCCTTTAGACATTACCACAGAGTACTCGTTTTGAGGTATAAAATCAAAATGTCAAACTTTGGGGTACATACCCCGATTCCAATCAGAAATCATATCCGTAGTTGAACATGCTGTGAAGATGCAGCCGTTTTACCAATGAAACCACCAGATCCAGCAGACTGATTTAAATTTAAGGCACAAAACCAATTAAGTATGTAAAATAAAAATGTGTATATGCTGATAAAGAAAAACAGTGGTATAACCAATTTGCATACAATATATATTATAGTCAAAGACACTATGACTTGTATTTTTTTGTTGAATACGTTTGTTTCATCGTTGGAGGTCAAGATAATTCCAATTGAATATATATAGCGCGTGCTTTCGTCCTAGCCTCAAGTTCAAAGCTTATAAAAGCATCTACAGTCGAAAAATGAATTAGAGCTTTTAAGATTTACATTAAAAGGCATTGCAGAACTCTGAGACGTCTTCGGAAGATGTCCATATGATGTCCACGAGACTACCAAATTAGAAAATGACTATGTCATTCAATATACATATAGCCTTTACGAGATTAGGTACCTAGTTGTTATCTGCCTAGTATTTCATAAGCTTACCTCTCAGCGTCTTTAAAAAAAATCAAGAATTATTGTAGAATATAAAACAGTGGTTCTCAACCTTTCATTTTAGGGCACCATTTGACACTCTTACGTATTCAATTAAGTACCCGATTGAAGTTAATGAAAATCTATATATTATATAAAAATGAATTGCTGTTCGTTAGTCTCGCTAAAACTCGAGAACGGCTGGACCGATTTGGCTTATTTTGGTCTTGAATTATTCGTGGAAGTCCAGGGAAGGTTTAAAAGGTAAGAAAATATAAAAAAGCTCGGAATTATATACAAACAAACAATTTTGTTTTTCCTTTGATGTGTCTTTTATTTATCGATTGAGGCACTACGAAGTCTGCGGGTCAGCTAGTAAAAAATATAGTTGATCAGTCATCATTTCAAATTTCGCCCACGTTCATCATCCACATTTCAAGTTGGTAAAAATCTCGCAAAAGGTTCCTCTTATTGTCGTTGAAAGAAGACAATCATAATGCTCATCTAATGGTAAATAGTAATCTTCGCTATTAAAAATCAGGGATATCAAGTAATCAGCCAAGCGGCTCCCTAGTGCATCTGTAAAATCGCATAACCCTGAAACTTATAAGTCTTAAATTAAGATCTAAAATCACAAATAAATAAAAATCCGAGCTATCAATTTAGGGTTCGTAATTATTTTTTTAACAAAAGAATGTGTCAAAAATTTCGATACACTTAATATTTTGTGAAAATGACAACCCTACAGTTAAAAAGTTCAGAAAAAATGTAGTCATATTATAATTGCACAAGCGTATACCGGAATAACACCGAACTATGAATGGAATCAAAATTCTCTTACAGACTGCGGTAACAAGAGCTTCGTAGCTGATAATAAAATATTTGTTATAAGAAGGTATAACAAATAGTAATGATGATGCTGAAAGTAATAAGAGCTCGTTATTTGAGGAATATTAATCATATAATCTTGTAATCCTAAGAAACAGTTTCAAACTTATCACAATTGATTCTATAAGTAGTTCAATATTCATTAGAGTTAGTACGTCCACACTGTGATTAAGTACTGCATATTTATGGCATTAAAAATACCAGTTTAATACTAGCTGATCATTACTAGTTACCGTCAGGGTTAGGGTCAGTACTGACAATGATAACAGCCACATAATAATAGGTTCTGATGTATCACAGCCATGCAATGCATTAAAATAAACATTCAAAGAAAGCATTCAAGTAATTATCCACGATTCGTCTATCGTAACTGGGCTATATTTAAATATTTACGACCGTCGTGGTCCAAAGATCACGTTGGCACTGTTGAAGTTCCGGTTTTGACTTTCGTTGCGATAAAGTTTTAGGGGCATATTTTTTGAATAGGGCATTTCTTTTTATTGCCCTTGTAGGCAGACGAGCATACGGCCCACCTGATGGTGAGCGGTTACCGTCGCCCATGGACTTCAGCAGTGCCAGGGGCAGAGCCAAGCCGCTGCCTACCGCTTAATACTCTCCACAAGCCTCTTTTAACGAAGGACATGTCATAGCGCTCGGGAAACACCGTGGAGGGGAGCTCATTCCATAGCCGGATGGTACGTGGCAAATTGTGTGTAGCTATTTTCGGGTGTAGGAATATCTGTGTGCATTGGCGGTGGGAGTGAAATTGTAGAGGCATAGTCCAGTAGTAGCTAGATATAGTGTTTTACCTTCGATTACGTAACTTCAATGTCGTCGTTTATCTAGAGATCCGACATTTGAAACTCTATTACGTTGGAAAAGGGTTATAGTAACAGATATTTCTAACTAGAACGCTGTTACAGTTAAAATTCCTGAGTACCGATGTTAGTAAGTGTAGCGGACTTGGTTTAGTCGAGTCGCACACAATAAACATGTTGCAGGCTGTCGTGTCCTTTATCATTATCAACTTACATAATACACACGCTCTGTATATAAGCACATACTCAATAGTAAGCTTAGCAGTCAATGCTAAGGGACGTAATATCGCAAAATCTGCCACTCACCCTGATACCTAAGTTTGAACCTTTCAAACTGAAACGCATAGTAGCTTCATGGCAGAAATATTAAGATTTTTTTTTATTGCCTAAGTGTGTGGACTAACTCACAGCCCACCTGGTTTTAAGTGGTTACTGGAACCCATAGACATCTACAACGTAAATACGCCACACACCTTGAGATATAAGTTCTAAGGTCTTAGTATAGTTACAACGGCTTTCCCACCCTTCAAACCGAAACGCATTACTGCTTCACGGCAGAAATAAGCATGGCGGTGGTACCTACCCGTGCGGACTCACAAGAGGTCCTACCACCAGTAATGGAGTAGATAAGATAGTCTCTTCATAAGCCATAAAGACCTAATTCCTGAAAATTCATTTACTTCCCGGGCTCGATATATTTACTTAAAGACGTCCGATAGAACAATATCGGAAGGATTGATTTTTATAACCAATTAAAAATATTAATTACGCATTCTGCTATATAATTTTCCTCGATTCATTTGCAATGTCCTTATTCTTGACAATCGCTATTACCGAGTTAAATAATTGAATTAAATGAAGGCTTTTTCATGTTATAGAAGACCTTGCAACTCTCCCGTGACAGCTTCCATATAATGACTCATTTTAAATAGTTTCAGATTGTAATTTTAATTTTTTTTTATGCTTAGGTGTGTGTACGGTCACACAGTCCACTTTGTGTTAAGTGGTTACTGGAGTCCATAGATATCTACAACGTAAATGCGCCACCCACCTTGAGATATAAGTTCTAAGGTCTCAAGTATAGTTACAACGACTGCCCCACCCTTCAAACCGAAACGCATTACTGCTTCACGGCTGAAATAGGCAGCGTGGTGGTACCTACCCGTGCGGACTCACAAGAGGTCCTACCACCAGTTCATCGGGATTTGGCTTTTTGAGGGGTAGGCATTAATATCTTATTTCTTTTTTATGACTATTGAATGAACGAGCTCACGTCATCCTTAGTAGTAAAGAGAACAAGTGGGCCGGAGATGTTACACAATGCCAAAACCGCAACCCTTTTTTTTTTTTTTTCGGGTAGAGGGCCGAACCTCCTACGAGGTTGGGTATCACTGGTTTTTTAAAATGGATATCCCACTATTGACACTAGATCGACTGATGGCTTTACGATTGGAATAAATAGCATATCGTCGCTGTCAAACCAAAATCTGCTTTGTGCAAAAACTCTATTTTGAATTAACGAGTAAAAAAAACATTTTTGTATAAATTTTTTTTTATATGAAAGTGAATTTTTAAGAACTATATCAAATGAAAGCTATAGATAAATATTAAAGCTACAGACACATAACATTTTTTTTATACGGTAGATAGGGCTGTGAACTATACGAAAAGGTCAAAAAATAAAAATCTCAAAAAGTGCACATAGCAGATTTTGGTTTGACAACGACGATATGCGACTCATATCTCCTGGTCGGTGACAGCATCAACGCTTAAGTAGTTAAGAATGGCTGCCTCCAAAATCAGTCCATATCGTCGAAAGCCATGGAAAATCCTGCTGTTTATTTCATCAGAACGAAAACAGCAGATCTTCCGGGAAATTTCCCAAAGTAAATATTTTGATATACGTAATACTACATGACATCTTCCGTCGCGGCGCATGCAAGTAACCCAGACCTTTCGCGAATTCTGAACTCGATAACAATGCATGTGACGCGTGTGCGCGGACTAACAAGAGGCGCACATGTTTCAGGTTCAATTCAGATATCATATTATG